TCTTTTGGGGGGCGGTAATAATCGAAAAGGGGGCGGTGTTTAGCGTTTCACTATTTCATTTCACCATTAACAGCACCAGTTTCCACACAAGAGGATCTCAACCAATCTTTAAAAACTAGATTTAATGAATCGGCTTCACGTCCAACAAGATTCTCCTCTTGCCTTTTGGCGCCCACATTTAACCGCGAACAATTTATCAATCTCTTTTTCCTTTTCTCTGCTCCCCTTTTGCAGCATCCGAGGATTTTCATAATTGAATATGCAATTAAAGCTTAACTGTATTCTTGTCTTTAATTTTAGTTATTAGTGTATTTTATTTATTACCATTAATTTCAAAACAATTTAACTGCACATTGTTGAGTGGAGAAGAAGGTGGAGTGCAGTACACAATTTTTTTTTTTTTTTTTTTTTTTTCCTTTTCATTTTCTAATTGGGAATAAAGAAAAAAAAAAAAGGAAAAACAATTAACAAAGAGACAAAAAAGGCAGTGCCTTTTTTGGTGTTCCAATATGGGTCTCACTCACTCGACTCTCAAGATTTATTAGAGAGGGGGGGTTTCATTTTTTTTAAGTAAAATAAAAAAGCTTCCTTTTTTCCCCATTGCTAGGGTTTTGAAAAGGCCGAAGCTTTTCTGGGTTGAGTCTTTTTCATTGTCTTCTGTGTGTATTTCACAGTGCAGGTTTGAGGAGCCCTTGTGGTTTACTCGTGTCCGTGTGCGTCGGTGCTCGCATTTGGTTCTAAACTGTGTTGAAACAGAGACAGGTTCTTCCAGTACATTGTTGTATTCTCAACTACATTTGATGTTTTCAGTTGTAAAAGTGTCACAGTTTGAACATTTCTGTCTGAACTCTGAAGATTATCCATTGTAAGTTTCAACATTGCGGGAGCTTGAGAGAATGGTTTTTTATTGTGAAGAGCTTGTGTTCTTCTTGTTCACTTAGTAGCTAACCCTCATTGGGCCCCACTTACATCTCTCGAGTGTTGTTGTGTATCATTTGTACATTTCCTGAAAAAACCCAACTGGGATTGTGTTATCTGTTGTTGATTCTTGAATTGTGGAATTAGTACTTAGGGTTTTAGAGAATGAGGGGTTTTCAGCTTTTTCTTGTGGTGTGTCTTTGTTTTGTTCCCTCCTTTGGCCAGCTTCCTTCCCAGGATATATTGACACTTCTAGAATTCAAGAAAGGAATTAAACACGACCCGACTGGTTACATTCTTAATTCATGGAATGACGAGTCAATCGATTTCAACGGGTGCCCTTCTTCTTGGAATGGGATTATGTGTAACGGTGGTAATGTTGCAGCTGTTGTTCTGGATAACTTGGGATTATCCGCAGATGATGCAGATTTGAGCGTGTTCTCGAATCTCACCATGCTCGTGAAGCTTTCGATTGCGAATAATTCGATCTCTGGCCAGCTGCCTCGCAATCTCGGCGAATTTAAGAGCCTCGAGTATTTCGATATTTCCAATAATCTGTTTTATTCGTCCTTGCCAGCTGAGATTGGTAAAATGCCTGGTTTGAAAAACCTCTCATTGGCTGGAAATAATTTTTCGGGCTCGGTCCCGGATGAAATCTCTGGACTTGCTTCCATTCGATCTTTGGACATGAGTGGAAATTTACTTTCTGGCCCTTTACCGTTATCGTTGACAAAGTTAGTGAACTTGGTTTATCTTAATCTGTCTCTAAACGGGTTTAATAAAAGCGTGCCTAAAGGGTTTGAGCTGATGACCCAACTCGATGTGCTCGATCTGCATGGAAATATGCTAGACGGTAAACTCGATCCGGAATTTTTCCTACTTACTTCAGCAAGCCATATTGATTTTAGTGCGAATTTGTTAGTGAGTTCATCTTCCGACAAGCGGCACTCATTTCTGGTGGGTTTATCTCCATCTGTCAAGCATTTGAATCTCAGCCACAATCGATTAACGGGGTCTCTTGTGGGTGGTGGCGAGGCTCAGGAGTTTGGGAGCTTGAAAGTGTTGGATTTGAGCTATAATCAACTGTCGGGGGATTTGCCTGGGTTCAGTTTTGTTTATGATCTTCAGGTGTTGAGGCTCGGCAATAACGGGTTTTCTGGCTCCGTACCAAACACCCTTTTGAAAGGAGATTCGTTGATGCTAACTGAGCTCGATTTGAGTGGGAACAACTTGTCAGGTACATTTGCTTTCATTCAAATCTGATATTTGCATTTTCAACCATTCCGTTTTAGAATTATTCGGATAATTTTGCAATGTGTATTCCTAAGGTTTAGCTTGACTGCGAAATGATCTAGTTATCTTTTGTAGTTACAAATAACTTCCTGACATTTCATTCTCTCACACAAATTGCGCAAATCTCTCTTTGGAAGCATTTGTAATTTTGTAAAAGTTTAAAATGTATTACTGTATTTATTATTATTATTATTACTCCCTCCTATTCAAAATAAATGTCGTTTTGAGAAGTTGCACAATAATTAAGAATATTTTTGTTGTCAATAATAACCCTATTTAATGAAGATAGAGATGAATGTTTTAAGAAAAAATGAAGAGTGAATATGAAAAGACGTAGTGTATTTATTGACTCAATGAGGGTAATAATTGGAAAAACATGTACAAAAGACCCAAAACGACATTTATTTAGTTAATAGTTGATAAAGCCAAAATGACATTTAAAAAGAATAGGAGGTAGTATTAATTATTATTATTATTATTATTATTATTATTATTATTATTATTACAATTCAAGTAGTTAATTACTTTGATAAACCTTTGATAGCATGAAGCAGTTTTCTTTGATATTTCTCTTATGAAAGCATTGATCTTTCAAGTGACTGCTACTAACTAACACTTGAACTTTTTTACTTGTCAGGGCCAATTAGCATAATAACATCCACAACACTACACACCCTTAATCTCTCCTCCAACATGCTTTCGGGTGAAGTCCCGCTATTGACTGGAAGCTGTGCTGTGATCGATCTTTCAAAAAACCAATTCGGAGGAAATTTAACGAGGCTGCTAAAATGGGAAAATGTGGAGTTCCTCGATTTAAGTCAAAACCATTTGGCGGGCCCCATTCCTGAAGCGACTTCGCAATTCTTGCGTTTGAATTACCTCAACCTCTCTCGTAATTCACTGAATGGCTCACTTCCCAAAGTCACAATGCTTTTTCCGAAAATAACGACATTCGATCTCAGCTTCAACCAGTTGGATGGACCAATTTCGAGTGCCCTTTTGACTTCATCCACTCTAAACGAACTTCACTTACAGAACAATGTGCTCTCTGGAAGCATAGATTTTTCACCTCTTTCCAATGATTCGAATCTTCACGTCCTTGATCTTTCGAACAATCAGTTTAACGGCAAACTTCCCGATGGGCTCGGGTCGTTTATCGAACTTCGTGTGCTGAGTGTCAGTGGTAACAAATTCTCCGGTTCTTTACCTACTTCCATCGGTAACATCACTACTTTATATTCGCTCGACATTAGTCAAAACAATTTCACCGGCCCACTGCCAGTTAATTTGCCCGACACCCTCCAAAGCTTCAACGCGTCATATAATGATTTTTACGGTTTTGTCCCGGAAAATTTAAGAAAATTCCCACTTTCTTCTTTCTACCCTGGAAATTCTCACCTGCAATTTCCAAATCCTCCTTCCGGTTCGAGCCGTGGCACGGCAAATAATTCAAGAAAGCACTTGAAGACTATTATAAAAGTGGCGATAATAATACTTTCTTGTTTGGCTGCTTTGATCATTTTGATCCTTCTCGCCGTTTTTTTCATTCGTTACAAGAAGATATCCAGACAAAGGCAAAAGCCTTTACCGCAAACCGAAAAGAATATCACTCGACAGGCTTCTGCAAATCCTTCTACTTTGGCCGGACGAGCCGAGGACATCATCATAACATCGAGAAAAGGAAAATCGTCTGAGATAATCAGCCCGGAAGAGAAAATGGCGGCAATAACAGGGTATTCCCCGTCCAAGAAGAGCCACTTCTCGTGGTCACCGGAATCCGGTGACTCGTTTACAGTCGAGAGCCTGTCAAGGTCGGATGTGAGGTCGCCGGAATCCGGCGACCGGCTAGCCGGTGAACTGTACTTTCTGGATGACACGGTTTCGTTCACGGCCGAGGAACTTTCCCGGGCTCCGGCAGAGGTGCTTGGGAGGAGCAGTCACGGGACTTCTTATAAGGCGACTCTTGAAAACGGCATTTTTTTGACCGTGAAGTGGTTGAGGGAAGGTGTTGCAAAGCAGAGAAAAGAGTTCGCTAAGGAAGCTAAGAAATTCTCGAATATCAGACACCCGAATGTGGTCGGGTTGAGAGGGTACTATTGGGGGCCTACACAGCACGAGAAGCTGATTCTTTCGGATTACATATCTCCTGGAAGTCTTGCAAGTTTTCTCTATGGTAAATTCCTCTCGACTCGGTTCTTGTGCAAGATATTATATTCTTTCTTTAAGTTTACGATATTGATATTGATTACATTTTGATTTATATGTCATCTTAAATGTTTTCTTCTTTTTATCTTTCTTGGCTATGCATGAGTTCTGGTCAATCTGGTTTTGATGTCGAAGCTTATGAAACTGTTTTTGGACAGTGAAGATCTAATAGGCCTAGGTAGTCATTAAAGTTCATTTGACATGGTCTGATTAAGTTCACATTTGTGGCCAACTCTGCATGTAAAAAAGTTCGCATACCATCATTCTGCATTTGTTTTGTGGATTAAAGCTATGTTTGATAAAACTTGCTGATAGCTTATAAGTGATTTTTCGAGCTTATGACTTATAGCTGAAAAGCTAACTTATATGATAAAAGTGTTTTAACAGCTAGCTGATATAAAAATTTCAACGACTTTATTTGAAAAACTACCAAAAGAAGCTTATGAGATAAGCTCGAGCTTTTTAAAAAAGTTCGTCCTACCAAATGAGGCTTATAAGCTAACCAAATAAGCTAGTTATACCAAACATAACCTAAAGCTTCCGGCGTGTGAAATTTGAAATTTTTGGCAAGTACCCATCACCATCCCTCTAAAGAAAACCTTCCATTGTTGCTTCATAAAAAAAAATATAAAAAAAAAAAAAAAACGAGTGATTTTGGTAATTGACTTGATCCAATTCTTCGGATCAAATAGCTTGCAGAAGCCACAAGCTTTAAATAAAACAATGCATGAATGATGATGGGTATGACTTATAGTCGAATAAAGCTAAAAGAAAGTGTACTTTCTCCTCTTCCTAACAAGTTCATTGTTATTTTCAGACCGGCCTGGAAGGAAAGGCCCGCCCTTGACTTGGGCCCAACGTCTCAAAATCGCAGTCGACATTGCACGTGGCCTCAACTATCTCCATTTCGACCGAGCCATTCCTCATGGCAACCTCAAGTCTACCAATGTACTTCTCGATGGGCCCGATTTCAACGCCCGCGTGGCGGATTATTGCCTCCACAGACTCATGACCCAATTAGGGACCATCGAGCAAATTCTTGATGCTGGGGTTCTTGGTTATCGGGCTCCCGAGCTCGTCTCATCCAAGAAGCCACAGCCCTCTTTCAAATCTGATGTGTATGCATTTGGCGTGATTCTACTCGAGCTCCTCACTGGAAAATGTGCTGGCGATGTGGTTTCGGGCTCAGAAGGAGGAGTTGGGCTTACAGATTGGGTCAGGTTGAGGGTGGCCGAGGGCCATGGTTCGGACTGCTTTGATGCTGCATTGGCCCATGAGATGAGTGTGCCTTTGGTGGATAAAGGGATGAAGGAAGTGCTTGGGATTGCGCTTCGATGTGTTCGTTCGGTGTCTGAAAGGCCCGGGATTAAGACGATTTACGAGGATCTTTCATCGATTTAGTTTGTTTTTTTTTTAGAGAAGAAAAGCTTGTGAATTGGGGAATCAATTACCTCATTGATCTTCCTCTTCTCTCCTTTTTTTTTTTTTGGTTTTTTTT